GTGACCAAACTACCGAAGGCACTACAGCCTGGTGGCCACAGATTAGTAGATAGTGGAACTGGGTCAAAGCTGCTAAATGCAAAATGGGGGCAAAACTATGTTCCTCCTGCACTGGAGCGAGGGTGCTCATTAACATAAGCCTGCGCCGTCCTTGAAAAACATAAAAGCTGCACAGCAGACAGTGTTTAGATGCCTTATCGCGAGGAAGAGCAGGGGGTGGCACTGCCCAGGGAGAGCACAGCCTTTGAGTTTTGGTAGGAGATGGATTAAACATCTGCAAATGAATTGACTTAATTTTCACCCACGCCCCCTCCACCAAGAAAGCACTTATCAGCTTGCTTGCTTCCCCTTACAGAAAATGAATCATCTCTTGGCTCCTGTGGGGCAACCCTGGCCCCACTGAAATCAGTGATAAACCTCCCCGAGCCTTCAGGATGGCCAGCATTTTCTGCCATGGTCTTCATGATGGCCCTTCAGAAACAAGCTCAGGGAGAAGCAATGCTGACCCTAGTTGCTCCTTCACTGATCTTTTCTGAACTGGCCCTTTCTTTATTTCCTATATTTATTCTGTTGGATTTATATCCCACCCTGACCCCAGCACTCTTTGCTGCATGGGCAGGGGGTTGGACTCGGTGATCGGTTGAGGTCCCTTCCGACCTAAGCATTTATGAATTGAGGTCGCTTTTCATGGGGGGCTATTATTATTTATCCTAAAAGTTTGAATTGCACCCAGTAGAGCACTGTTTCCCTGTGCAGAGGGGAGAATGAAGGAATTTATTAACACTTTACTGCCCTTTCTCATTTGTTCCTACTACAGAAAAAACAAGAACAAAGAAATGACCAATGCAGTTACAAATATAATGACATGGTTTATGGATGAGGTAACAGATATTCTCTATCCAACCATAATGGAATATGAAAATAGAAAAATAACTAGGAAAGATATGAGAGATGAGGCCAGTGCCAAAAAGTGTGTCTGCACAGGCAGAAAGATAACACCCGGCAGCTCACCAGGATGTGGGAAGAAAGGGAGTAGAGGAAAACTAACCTCACTTTTTTCTCAGCACGCACCTGGCCTGTCTTCAACTCTTGGCAGAGAGGTTTGGGAAGACAATCTTCCTGAGACTGAACCGGCAGCACTACCTCCTCGTCCGGCTAATCATCTCTCCCGTTTGCGCAGGGACAGTGTGCGCAGGGCTGCTCAGCTTGAGCATCCCAGGCAGACTTTCCAAGCTGAGCGATTTCCCCGTGGCCAAAGGTACTTTCAATACAAACTGGCAGAAAAAGATGGCCAATTAGAAACCCATCTCATTAGGGAAGATATTTACTCTGATGTCACACAAGATCGCCCTAAAACAGGCATGCTTAGAAAGTTATTCTCACCGATCAATGCTCAGGAATGAGTGCTCGGTTCTGGGGAACAGGTCCAAAGGGAAGAGCAAATGCCACGACAGGTTCAGGTCCCCGAGCTTGCAAACCCCCACTCAGAGGGCATTAGCAAGGTGTGTTACCGTGCAGGAGCTCTGGGGCTCAAAACTTCTCCATCCCCCCAGGATGTACTCATCAAGCCAAGGACAGTCCGGTCCAGCATGACTCTATCCCAGCTTGGCAAACAGTTTCCGAGAAAGCCCTGCTTGTCATAATGCAGGAAAATATTCCCTGAAGAGGAAGCACCACTGCCAAGACACAGCATTAAGCCTCAGCACTGGCATTCACCTGCCAGTATCTATGCCGACGCCTTTTTCCACAACACATAAAATGACCTCATGAACAAACGTATCCCTTCCCAAAACTTCCTTGCTCAGGACAGTGTTATCCATGGAAGCGATCCTTCACGTTTCAGTACAGAGCTGGTCGATTAGGTGTTAAGTAAGCTGTCAGGATGTCAGGCCACAGCCCGGCAGCCTTCGGAGGATCAGGGTCTCTTCCCTGACATAGATACCTTGACGGCCCAAATTATTCACTCCACTCTGTCTAACCTTTGGCATGAAAGTGCTCCTAAAGTCAGAGCTTGTGAATACAGGGAAAGCAACAGGAGTGTGTCAGCAGAGGGGTTAAGTGTTTTGCGAAGGAGAGAAATTACTGATCACCAACGCTTAGCAAAAGCACCCCCTCCAGCTCGGTACAAACCTCTAGAGTCTGGGGAAAAGGATGAGAAGCTTTTTGAGGATGCTACCAAAAGCACCTCCCAATGCCAAAGTCCCACACCATCTACTCCGGAGGTCTGGCTCAGATATTTGGACGATATAATCAGCAGGCTTTTCTCTGATCTTCTCCCTGCCGCCGCCAGCACATCTTCCCCGAAAGAAAAGAAAATGGAGCTTGCAGGATTTGACTTGCTTCCCCTGAAGGTAATCAGACAAGTGATGGCAAAAATCTCTGAAGATGATGACTCTTGTACCCAGCACAATGACCATTCGCATGCCAGAGAGGATGCTATGATTCAAACCACTGCTGATTCGGTTTACGACAAGCTTCTAGCACAGTTTCAGTCTCAAGTCAGAAAAGAACTGCTTAGAAATGGGTGCCTCATTCTTTCCGAAGCTCTTTGTGACTTGGTCTTCCAAGAGGTTTCCGGGAGTCCACTGCAGAGCTCTCTTTCTGGGGAATCACCACATTGCCACCGTGCCGAAGCAGACAATTTTGTTGGAGATACACCCAGAGATGTTTCTGAGCCTCTGGAGAACCCAAACACCCTACCATCGGACCTGAGTAAAATAGTTCCTCTTATCATCAAAAAACTAGCAGGAAATCTGAACAAGTTTCCATCCCTCTTTCCCATTGCGGAGATGGATGCAGAAAATACTTTGTTGCTCTAGGATGCAACTGCTGGCAGAAGCTCACAGCACCAGAGTCATTTATCAAGGGCTGAAGTGAGCACACTTGCTGAGAACCTGAACCAGGCCGTGGAAGAAGACCTGTCCAGACATCAAATCAGCCTTGTGCCAGGAAGAACCACCGCGATGTCCAGAGCAGGAAGGAGCACTTATTCCTGGAGGTCGAAAGTACTACCTGATTATGCCACAACAATCTGGATCTGAGCAAGACCTGTACAACGACGTAACAGGTTTTGATGCACATCTTCGACAAGACGTGGTTACCGTCATAATTGAGGAACTCTCCGATTGCCCCCTTTTACGGGTGGTGAGCGATCGACTGAGCCAAAGTATGACAGACCCAGACAGGCTTGCCGACGAGGCTCTTTCCCATGAGTCTATTAGTGCAGAGCCTAAGTCATGGCACAATGAAGAGGCAGTCCCAGGAACAAGTGCAGACAAGACCCTAACAGAGACAGAGGAGTTAGCCACACTGAGAGCTCTTCAGCCCAAGGTGGACCTCCTCGCACAACTGGAAGCTCACTATGCTGAGGATGAGGAGGGAGAAGAGAGGGTGGAAGACGACCTCCTTGAATCAGAGCAGCAGTGGGAGGAAGAAGAGCTGCAGCTGATTGAGGAGACCGCTCCAGTCAAATCCTCTCCGTATTTGTGGAGCCCGCTGGGTTCATTCATGGACACTGTCTGGCAGGGCAGCGAGAGTGGGAGCTGTGGTGGAGGGGGATCATCTGGGGTCTCTGGACAGAGCGGTCCCTGATTTAGACTGGGTTTGGTATGAAGGTGCACAGGGCTGTGCCCCGCAGTCTGCTTCCTTGTATCCAGAGCGTTTCACTGCTGCAACACAGTGGGACCAGATGGTGTCAGGGACTCTGCGCTTCCTACACGGCTCATTTACTCTGCAACCATCTGTGCGCTTCCTCCCCATGCCCAGATCACGTTCCACAGCCACAGCTGGTGGGAGGATGTGTTCAGCAGGGGGGCATTACAGCA